AAATTAATTGGATATTTATAATAAAGGATTGCGGGAGAATATTACTAAGATCAGTAATATTTTATTTATTCACAACAGGGACAATATTTGCAACATCATGAAGATTTGATGATGGAATATGAGCTACTTATATATCTTCGAGCGTTGCGAAAAAAACGTAACACTCTTTTTAGCTAATTCCAATTATAGTATTTTGTGCTGTTGCGAAAAAAACGCAACTATTTCTAATTATAATATTTTGTGCTGTTGCGGAAAAACGCAACTATTTCTAATTATAATATTTTGTGCTGTTGCGGATTTTTCGAAACGTTTTGCTATTATTGCGCCCGTTGCGGATTTTTCGAAACGCTTTTGTTATTGTTGCGCCCGTTGCGGATTTTTCGACACGCTTTGTTGTTATTGCGCCCGTTGCGAAATTTTCGACACGCCATTACTAATTTAACTTTTGTATTACTAAGCTAAATTTGATGTGTCGATCATGGGTTTGCTGACTGCGGAGGAAGATTTTATCATGTGACTTACTTTTCTGATTCATCAGATCAGCTTGCCGTAACAAAATTCACTTGCCACTGTGGCTTCATGAACAAAGTCACAAACGAATTTGCACTAATACTAACCACAATGGGTGCAATACTTAATCTGTCTACCCACATCAGAACTCGGAGAGACAAATATCGGAGAAGCTTTGTGCACTCAAAAAAAAACACACTTGTTCTTGGATAAAAATTTATGCATAAGGAATAGCAAGGCATATAGATTATCCCTCCCTACAATGGCCCTCTTATTCTTCAGTTTTCCATTTTTTTCTTGGTTTTTGAAATGGTTCTGCCAACGTCCATTTAGGAGGCTTTTTAATCCTTTCCTCTTGGTAAACTTCATAAGTTATCTATTCCCAATCCAGATATTCTTTAATATTCTGCATGCTTTTTAGTTTGAAAACATAAGGAGCAATTTTTTCGCCTTGCTCTTGCTTTAAAAGAGAGCATAAAGTGCTGTAGTTTTTGGGCTCCATAGTAGATCTAATATAGATAAGTTTTATATATTTTAATTTTATATGTACAGATACCCCTATGTATAGTACATAATAAATACACAATATTATCAAAATTAGACAAACTGTGCATAAAAAAAATACACTACCTGGACAAAAGTCTTGCACACTGAAAAATTTTAATTACACAAAATTGCACATAATAATTACATTTCAAAATTTAACAATTTATACTTTAACCAATGAAGTAACTATGTATAAATCAATATTTTGTTGGCCACCCATTGTTTGTAATAACAGCCTCTATTCTCCGTGGCATACTTTCTATCAAGGCCATTACTTGACTTTGTGAAATCTTGCCCCATTCTTCCTGTAATGCTGTCTCTAATTCTGCAACATTTGTTATTGCTTGTGATCTGCTTCTTATTCTTCTTTCTAGCTCTGCCCATAAATGCTCAATTAGATTCAAGTCAGGAGACTGACTTGGCCAATCTGGCAAGACTTTGATTTCGTTCACTAAAATCCATTTTTTAACATCTTCAGCAATATGGACTGGAGCACTATCATCTTGAAACCAATACCCTCTGCAATTAATTTCTTCTAATAGTTTTTGTGGAAACTTCAATATTAGTTTTTTCAACAAAAAAATTTTTTTAATTTCTTTAGCTGATTTCTTATTATTGTTTTTAACAGATTTTTTGACTTCTGTTGGTCAATAATTTCAGATGCCTGGGTCAGGACAAGTAGCAAGGTCATCTCCATTAAGGTACTTTTCAATAGTATGAGCACAGTTGTTCTATGAACTTTAAGCATTCTACTAATTTTGGTACAGATTGCTTATTTTTGTAAGGCCAATAATTTCACCTTGTTGACTTTCAGTTAAGGAATACATTTTAAGATCAATAAAGGGAAGTGCTTTATTTATATATTCTGATGTATGTTTACAAACAACACAAAAATTATACACGCGTTTGTTCAAAACCAAAACAACATTATATTAAAATTTGAAATGTAATTATTATGTGTAAATTTGTGCAATTAATTTTTCGATGTGCAAGACTTTTGTCCAGGTAGTGTATATATATACAGTATATATGGCAGACGACACAATTATGAACGAATACGAAAAAGCACTCCAATTCCTGGAAGTGGGATGTGGTTGCGGTTGCTCGGCCAAGATACCGAAAGAAGAATTTGCCGAACTCCGGGAAGATTTTCAAGCTCTAACTAAACCCGAACAAAACATCTTCCTGATGGCTCAACTCAGATCCATGGATGGAGGAGCGATCAATACTAGTCGACGTCTCAAGAACAAGACTCGTGTCAACAAGAGGACTTTCTATTGTTGAAATCGTAATACACCCATTTGTCAAAAGACGTACTTTAATATGCTTGGTATCGGCCGAAATTACTTCGAAAATATCAGAGAACATTTGTTAAATAAAGGACTTCTTTCCCGAGTACATGGTAATGTAAAAAGAATGCCGCGATGAAAACCAAGATGACCATCGATAAAAACGTGGCTATCGCTGTGAAAAATTTTTTGCTAAATTACGCCGAAGTCCACGGGTTACCAAGTCCGGTTAGAAATGTCAAGAGTTACTCAATCAATTATTTTTTTGCCAGCGGAAATGAGTTACAAATCTGTTCATCGTGAATTTTTAGCTGGCCTAGAAGAAGAGAGTATTTTGCGCGCCCTCAAATACGACGCGTTCCGCAAACTATGGCACCAGCTAACTCCGTATATTCAAATCATGAGTCCTCGAACCGATTTATGCGATACTTGTCAACGCTTGCGGAATGACCTGCAATTTAAAGTTCGTAAAGAAGAGGAGGCCCAAGGCTTGTTAAAAAGATATAAGGAACATTTAGCCAAAGCTAGATTAGAGCGGAATTATTATCACAAAAATACCAAGTTGGCAGAAGTACGACGCTACGGCCCACCAACCTAATGCTAAAGGACATGTTAATATGGTAGTGATGTCTAAACGTCATGCTGATGACTTTTGAGACTTAACTGACAAAGAATGGGAAGATATTCTGCCCGTTTTGAAAGATAGTATTGCTAAAATCGACCAACTTTAGGTTACCAAATTAGCATGCCAACTGGTGCTAAAGCTTCTCAGAATGAGCCTCCTCATTTTTACATGCGAGTGGTGCCCAAGTACAAGAAGAACTGGGGTACTGTATCAATTCCATTGAGTGTGAAGTCAGACATGGAACCAGCTGAATTTGCTACTAGGAAAAAACTTATTCAAGGAGCATTGCAGCCAAATCAAGATGGTGTGATTGCTGAAAAGAGTAAGTTAGTGGCAAAATTGCTCAGTGATGATAAAAGCATATTAATATTGGTAAGCCAAGGAGAAAATTTACCAGGAGCAATAATCATAGCCACTGCAAACGGTTCAATTCCTAAAACTATTTTCTTACAGCATGTCCCATGTGATAACGGTAAAGATTATTTTCATTTACATTGTTTTGATCTAGAAACGAGTCCCACTGTACAGGTAATTTGCAACAAATATTGACAGTATGTGAATAGGTTTGAAACAAATTGGACAAGAAAGTTTTTCTACTATAGAAACGTTTTGCATCCAAATGCGTGCAGAAGCTCAATAATAATTTCAGCTGATACATGATATTATCACTCATCAACACATTCTAAATAAACACTCTATCCGGTTCGCTACGAGAGACAGAAAGCTCTTTTGATTTTCGCTATCAAATTGAAAATAGATTATTATCTATCGAGCGATACGATGAGCGTCCGTAGGTCCCTGATAATTGTGAAGAATATATAGTGTGAGAAAATGTTCACTTGGCAATGTATGTTGCTGACTCTTATTACCTAATTGTAAATCTCTCCCCTCAAATGCTTTTGCTAGAGTTTCTGCAAAGAACGTCGATAATGATGACATCTCGTTTGAGCCTATTTGGGGATAATAATATCGGGGAAAACGCAAGAGAAACGTTAGCTATGATGCCCTCCTATTATGATTATTTGATTACCGTAACTCTTGTATCATTTTACATAACTTACCTCTATCGGTATAACTATCGACATCCTTATTTCCACCGATTCCACTCTTGATCACCAATTTCCTTAGTTCTTCTGCTTCGTTCCTTGTAGAATCTATTTCCTCCATGTTACCTTTTTCGTCCGCATAGTCTTCGCCATTATCCTCGTTATCCTCATTTTCCGTTTCTAATTCTTCTTCCTCATAATAGTCGTACTCGACCCTAACAATCTCTGGTAAATTCTTAAACTCCAACTTTCTGCTAGTATACACTGCTTCTGGATATATGCGCCGTTTATTCCTTTCCCCCTGACTATTATTAATTCTCGATTTCCTTCCCTCTAAAGCCTTAACCCGCATTTTCTCGGCAACAACAAACTGCCTCTCAACAGCCTGGTTCTGATTCAATCCCATATGCCAGCCCCAGGACATCAATGTCTTTTCTATTTCTCTAACATTAGGTCTTCGGGACGGATCAGCGTCCCAGCATTGTACCATCAACTTTACGTAACATTTCGGCGCGTTCTCCGGTATTTCTGGACGCAGACCGCGGCATATGTCGGCAGCGAGTGCATGATTGTGAGGACGCCATGAAAAAGGAGGAATACTCGCTGCTATCTCGTACATTATCATGCCAAGGGAATACACATCCGAATGTTCTGTGCGTGGAGAACCGTGCAAGAGTTCTGGCGCTGTATAAGGCAGTACGCCGTAGAGAGGTTCTGGCGTCGATAGAAAAGATAGATTTATGTCTGTAAATGTGATAGCCCACTCATCTTCTTTGCTTGGAGGAGAATAATTTCCAACATCCGTAATATAGGTAAAACCTTGACTCCCATTACAATCTCTCAGCACGTTCCCACTGTGCAAATTCCCATGTATTAGTTTCAGGTTATGTATGTCCATTAATCCATGTGCAATGTTATACACTATCCCTGCTCTACGTTCCCACGTCAACTGATTAGAATATTCTTCTATATATCGATGGAGGGTGTAATCGGGGAGGATAGTGACGACGATGTAATCTTTGCTTATAGGGTCACGACTGTAGCCATACCAATGAGGGACATATTGACTTTGGTGACATCTGTGCCGTTCCAGCTAAGAGAGAAACAAGAGGAGAAATAGGTATTAGAATGATGAAAAATAAGGATAAAGATGAAGTATACGCCCCCCCAAGAGCGTATAACTAGTCACATTCATTCAATTATCGTATTCTCTCCTCTCTCACCCAAGACGCCTCAAGATTTTTCTTTCCCTTTCCTATATATATTCACCTCGCTGCACTATCAAACAACTTACCTGAACCCAATATTCTAGCTTGGCATCGGCACTTCCAACCAGCTTCTTTAACTTAACCTTAACCTCGCCTTCTCTTATCCAGGCACGCTTTTTTGGATGCCAATATAGTTTCGGACCCAAATCCCATATAGCACTATACACAACTCCGAAACCGCCTCGTCCGATCTCCATTATATTTTCAAGCTTATCGTATGGTATCCATTCTAAAAATTTATTTGGTCCAGTCGAATGTAACTGAGTATACTGTATGACGGCATCGAGAGATAAATTTCCAGAGGTCCAGTTAGGAAAGTCCGATTGAAATCTCCTCGCTTCACACGGTTGACACCAGTTGCGTGGGCTGCGTTGAGTGTAAGGTTGATCGCAGGTTGGACAATGTTTAGATAGAGAAGCAGATGAAGATTGTGAAGAATTCGAGGACTTGTGGGAGAAGAAGGGGGAGCGAGGTTTGGATCGTTTGACCTTGGATTTACGAGGTTTTGTGTATTCATCGTCTATGTGTTTACTACTCCGACAGCCCATGTTTGAAGTAATTGAGTGACTGGGGCGATGATGTGAGAACGATTATACTTTATTTTGCATGCAATAATAAAGTATTTTTAAATAGGGTTAGTTGCCTGCTTGCTTGCTTCCTTATTTTGTTAGTTGCTATTCTTGGATATTTTCGGATTTTCTAGCAAGCGAGAGATCGGACATAATATCCTCGAGTGAATTCGCTTCAATGTCGTGACTAGGATGCCCAGAATCCAGTCACGATCGAAATTGGGCCCTCTAATCGAACGATTTTATATCTTCTTCACGCTCTTAATGGAAATCCCTCCTTTCTTTTTAATAACCTTCATTAGGGACTGATATGCAGGTATATGCGAGTCTGTCAATTAGAATGCGGTCATGTGCTACAGTACACTTGATTGATAATCTGACGAGTGAAAAATTGTGCTTGCAGTTGTATGTAAGTTACACTACATCGGATAAGAAGACGGCAAACTGACATAAGAATGCGATTATTAATAACGCAATGGTGCGGCGTATATAATATCAATAGAAATGTATAAATAGCGTGTGTGCGATTTAAATAGGCAATAGTACTTAATTAGCAAGTGTTGAATGTTCACTGTTGCCCGTGATCGTGATAGTGCCTTCCATTTATGTCTAAGCGTAAAATTCGCTAGAACCGATTTGAGGTTTACTATTGTTATGACCCGTTCTAGGATTTGACCTGTACATCAGAATAATCTCTTGCACCAATAAACTACATAATTTATGTGATAACGTTGAAAAAATATGTGATAATCTTGAAACGGGCTGACCCGTTCTCAGAAGGGTCAAATTCCAGAACGGGTCGTAACATTGCCATCAAATTCATCAGGTAACACCAATTTTCAGAATGAACCTCCCACAGGAAACTAAAGATGCTTCCACAAGACTATTTCAAACAATATCAATTGGTAGTTCTGTCTTATCATTGTTGTTATGAGAACGATTCTCGACTTGTCCACATATTGTAACTATGCCCTACTAGGATAACGTAATTACCGATATGTTCAATTGGTGTTTTTACCTAAAAGCACAATAGTTCTTCTTTTATTCTTCGTACACATGACCAAGTGTTTGTTGTGAACACAGAATTGCAGGGGTTGAAACAAATGTGTTGTTATTGTGACATAGCATTAGCATTGTATTCACGTGTTAATTGAATTACTTGCTTTCTCTGGGCGGCCGACCCTGGGTTTACTTGTCCCAATCTTTGAACACTGTAGGAAAGGATAGCTGTATTGGTAGTTTTGACATTTGTCGGCATCATGCACAAGTAAGTAATGCAATAATGAAACAGAATGATGCCAGCAGAAGGGAACAATTGAATGGCCCGTTACTTTAAGTGAACATTTGATCATGTGAGCTAATAATGGCTGGTTGTGGCTAATAACTTCACGTGAGACTTTTTTCCTCGTGCCGATGTACATGAAGTACCAGAAATCCTCCAGCCTTACGTACCCTCGTTCTCACCTTCCGCTCTGTCTCACATTATTCGTAGACAACTTCCTTGGCGTCCTGTCAAAACTATCATAGATTAAAGGATAACTAATAGCGCCTGTCAAACATGCATCGGTATATGACAGGAGTATGTCGTTCAAATCACGTGGGAATGCACGAGTTCGCGCGGGATCTAATAGAAACGTGCGGGGCTAATAGAAACGCGCGACGCGTCATATTAATATATGGGATGGACATTTAGATCGGCATAAACTCTAAACAAAACATACGCAAAATTTCTATTTTCTGAGCAAACCTTTCGGTAAGTAAAAAGGTTTCTGTTTTACGTTATTTTGCAATCTTAAACTAAGTACTTCGCGAACACAAAGCTTCACGAGTGGAAAGAAAAGGGATTTCTTTTATGGGCTGGACGCAAATGGTGAGGAGCTGTTCGGGGGAAGCAGAACGCTTCAAGATCGAAAAATGAAGTGGCATAATTATTTTTTTGAAAAAGTTAGAGGCTTATTGCGTTCGAGACGACACAAACGAGAATAATGCTCTGCGATCTTATGCTTTAGCTGCGATGCGTAAAGCGGCTTCTCTTGCTAACAATTTGGTGAAATTGTTGTCTTTATAGGAATGGCATGAACATCACAAACAAACAGGCCCGGTGGGAGTTCGTGCTTTAAGGCATCTCTTTTGCTGCGGGCTCAAGAGACAATCGGCCAGCTCAGTGAGTGGTCGCCTTGGGCATGTGGTTAGGTTGTGACCAAACAGGCCCGGTGGGAGTTTGGGCTTTAGGGCATCTCTTTTGCTGCGGGCTCAAGAGACAATCGGCCAGTGGTCGCTCTATAGCACACAACCGTTTGCCATTCTCAGACTCAATTATTATGATGTGTACCTAACTCTTTTAGAAAAATAAGGTTCTGAATGATGTTTCTGAATGGTGGGAACGGCGGGAATTTGAGAATTTCAAAAGACAAGAGAAATTGATTATTGCTCAGGATTCGTTATCTCAGGTTAAAAGTGACATGATATTAATGTATTGATATGACAGGTTGAGTGGACAGCAGCTCAGAATGAACAATCATGGAAGAAGATGGTACAAAAGACGTAAGCATGACGCGTGATTTTGAAAAGAATGTAAGAAATATGGTATTTACATGAATTGATAGCTATCAATGTTCATAGTTTTCAAAATCAAGAATGTATCTGGGATTACTATTATATATATGTGCAGCTTATTGATTATGCATATTTGCAAGAAATGTTTGATGAAGGAGTAAAGTCCAACAAATAATAAACATGAGAATAAAATCGAGAAAAATGCATCTACATGCAAAAAGGTAAAAACCCCTGCTGAAGTTAAATATGTATATTTTCTATATTTCAGATGCAAAAACATACAAAGACTACCACAAACACAAAAAATTCTGGACCAAAAAATGATAGTGAAAAGTCCTCTTTTGAATTCCCTTCCTCTTCTCCTGAGGAAAATGAAGAAATAGATTTTGATTTAGCAGCATTGAAAAGGGATTGTCTCGAGAACTGACAAATGAGGTATGTTATGCACAAATACATTGTACTTTCATCTTCCATATCTGACAATCTCTTACAATCCTATTTCTTAGTGGATAGTTGATAATAATAATAATATCAATGTATCCCCAAGGTTTAGAAAATATCAGTTGGATACTTGAGAAGGCAAAAACTGAAGGATTGACATATAATAATACTTGTGCAATTTTGTAATCATAAAATTTGACTGGCTGATGATTTATACAAGATTATGTTGATCAGTCTTCCCTGTTGTTTTTAGAGCTTTATCTTCAATAATAGTGTTTTGATGGCCCTGCCCATTATTGTTACGGCAAGCCGATCTAGATGAATCAGATAAGTGAGTCACCTGGTAAAATCCTCCTCCGCAGTCATGATCAACAATAGTAATAGTAATAGTGGTATGCGATACCATCTGTGCATATTTTGAGCATCGGTGTCTAGTTAACTTAAAATCTATTGGTCCTTGAAAATGTCGATTACTGATTCCTTTTGTTGCAATTTTTGGGTTATATAAGCGGCCCTCACCCCATCGTCAAATTCTCATGTTGTATATGTTATATGTTCTTAATGTCCATGTTTTTAATGTTGTTCAGGCTATTAGAACAATAATTCCCACTCCATGGAATAATAATAAGCGATTCCCTTTGAAATCAAAACTTTACTTCCTTTCATCGTTGCAATATTAATTACTTAACCGGATATTAATAAACGGCTCACTCAAGTTGTAAAAATAGTTCACTCAAGCTGTAAAAACAACTCACTTAAGCTGTATAAATTTCCGTTGATCTAGTACTCTTAATTGAGGAACGAGA